TATCCACATTAAATGTCAGTTACCACAATTCTGACCATTTTTCTAGTTTACCTAAATCATTTGCCATTTGGCTTATCCCTCCTGGAACATCAACCCTGTTACATATCTTAGTATCATCAGCAAAAAGACATACCTTACCATCAAGACCTTCTGCAATATCACTAATAAAAATATTAAAGAGAATGGGTCCAAGTACAGATCCCTGAGGTACCCCACTGGTGACAAGTCCAAGCTTCGAATATATTCCATTAACTACAACCCTCTGTTGCCTGTCACTCAGCCACTGCCTTACCCATTCAACAATATTGGAATCCAAACTTAAAGATTGCAGTTTATTGATAAGCCTTCTATGTGCAACTGTGTCAAAAGCCTTACTGAAATCTAGGTAAGCAATGTCTACTGCACCACCCTGATCTATAATTTTAGTTACCCAATCAAAAAAATCAATAAGATTAGTTTGGCATGATCTCCCTGAAGTAAACCCTGCATTACAGTATCAGGTATTGGTAATCTTACTCACTACATTTACGTTTCTTCTTAAGGCCTCACTTCGCCTTTGTTTCATTCAAAAATATTCACATTTGTGGGAACCAAGGGGCTTGTCTCTAATTTTTGGACCTACGTTCAGGTCCCTCAGCTTACCCAAGTTCTTACGTTACAGTATCTCTGATACACACCTACCTATACGTTCAACATTTTTACACTCATTATACCAGTGACACGCCTCAGGCCCACTCGCATCTTTTTCCCCTAAGGTTTCCCTGACCGGGCCCGTTCCCTGCAGAAGCAAGACTATATTGTAATCTTCCTGCGCATTGCCCAAAGAAAGAGGACAAACTCTCAAGGTTAAGTATCTACATACGTTATATCACACCAAGAGACAAGCCCCATCAGGCTAGAGAACTGGCATTGAGGGTTAGGCGCTGGCCTTAGCTATCCTAAGTAATACTATGGTCCCGCGAGGTCTACACCCCCACCTCATACACAGAGGTTCAGCCCCACGACCAAATCATAGTTAGCTATCTCGCTTGCCCTTCTTTGGGCTACAGTTAGGGCTTCCCAAGACACGGCCACACGTTTTGACTCTCTTACGGTCACCGACAACCTGCCACCACATTCAAGTGGCCACAAAATTCCCTCGGCCCAAATCATAGGTAGAGTCTCTCTCTGCCACTTGGCACTAGCAGGGCCTCACCTGTCACTTGGTTCTAGGAAATTTTTTCGTTTTGGCATTAGCTAGCAGGCCAGTTCTCCGAAGATCTCATCCACACCTCTAAAACACATTACTTATCCAAATCATTGTTTCTTTTTCAGAATGTCACGAGAATCCATCCCAATAATCGGTCTGCTGTTGGACGAAATACCCAGCACGCCAGTCAGGCCTGAGTCTCCAAAGGAATCCCTCACCCCTTCTACCTTCAGTTACCTGGGATACTGGTACATTCCAAAAATGTCAGCAGAGCTCAGTCACAGGGGTATCCCATCTCCAGTCACTACCAGTAAGGCAGGACTATGCAGGCTCACGACGGCTCAGGCCAACTTCCCCAGGGCCGTCGGCTTACTCCTCAGATTCCAATCAGGAGACTCCGGTCGCTGTCCCGGCCAGCCTCCAAACGATCAACAGGCTGATAAGTGGAATCGGCTATATCCACACCAGGTGTCTCATTAAGCCCGGCAGGCCCTCACCTGGCGATCTTGGTCATACAATCTGGCTTACTACTCATTTCCCTCCCAGTCCCCCACCATCCACTATCACTACTCCATACGTCTCACCGGCCCACTCTGTTCCAATCACACGGGGCTTATCGCCATTCCCACAGGTACACTCATATGCACCAACCTATTATCTACAGCCATTGACCCTCTTACGGTGGACCACCTGGTTTCACGATCGCCTTTTTTGCTGGTCCTCACACTTCTCATCTTGGCGTACCATTCCCATCGAGGTAGCCATTCACAATACCCTTTAATACATCTGATCATAGTCCTCTTCCGCACCACTATGAATCAAGACTTTTGCAGTTACAATGTGGTGTTTTTTGTTTTTTGTTTTTCTCCAAACCTACAAATCAAGCATCTTACTTAAACTTCCTATGCTGTCACACCGCTTTACGTCTCCAAAGTCAACCACACACTATCAGTCCTAATCCGCTACTTCTAAACGTCTAAACCTTCCATTAAGGTGGAGCTACATCATGGCTTCCTTCGCTGGTCTTTCTGTCACAAAGCGCTGCATCGACAGCTTCAAGCTCTTATACCCCAGTCTACATCACTAAGTGATGGGGCCACGGCTAATCCTCAGCGCAGTTACATATATACCTCAATCAGAGTAAAAGCTCCTTACAAGCTTTCAGTACCCACGCTGTATTAACTTGCATAAAGTGTGTTTTCTTTGAATCCTCTTTTTGCCCTCTTTTACAGGCCTACTCGTACGTTGGTTTCGGCACACCTCAACCAACTTTGCTTCTCCTTCTACATTCCATTACGTATTAGATAAATTCCGAGCACAAATATATATATATATATATATATATATATATATATATATATATATATAGTTTTGCCTGCTTTATTTAAGGTTATACCGAAGGTTACTGGATTAACTATTGCATAGTAGGTTTTTGTGCTCACTTCCCTCATGTAGTATATACAAGGGATGTTTGGAGTATTTATGATATGTATATGGATGGACACATACATGTCATGTATGTATATATGTTTTCAAACCTCTCCATGGGTACTATAATCACTTTATAAGTTTATCCAATCTTTCCATCTGGATAATATGTAACCGTTTGGGTGTGATTTTATGCAAATACTTTATTTGGATATACTATACAGATAGGTATCAGTATAGGTATAAGGTTATCTTTACCTTATTTCTTTATTAATAACCTTAATTCATATCACCAACTTAAATATTGTATATCTTTGTTGAAAGTCTCCATTCACCTTGCATGAAGGATTCTTTAATCAATACGAAAATCACATGTTCATTTGTACTTTAGAACTTCAATAGTTCATGCCATAATGTAACATATTTGTCCCCTGCTCAGATTTCCTTTATCAATATATTATGAGTTTATTGGGGGTAATTTAATGGATGAATGTAAGTCTGTGTCGTGGAGTAACTGGGGGTAGGTTCTATCCCTTATACAGATATGCAATCAGCACATTGGTGGACGTCATACTACATGTCCATCAAACCCACGTGGGCTCTTCCCAGTGATGCAAGCAGTTAGCCGCGTCCACTCCCCTTTCTAATTGGTTAATGCACATGCTGACTAACCTGTTTTATGGATGGCTGATTAAGGCATTACATATTTAAACCATTCTGGTGAGTAGTCACATTCATGTTTGCCCCTGAGAATGGTGTATTATCACGCCGAAATGCGCGTTGGGTTTTTTCATGGGTCTCTCTGTTATGGAGCACCATATCACTATGCACGCACTTTTTTCACTTTATTTATTTTAAGGATTTTTTTTTTTGTCTTTAGTACTTAGACAGCAATTGAGAACTTGAGAGAATTACCCTAGATGGAGTATAAGCAGAGAACACCCATGAAGGTGTTTACAGGAGATTTAGAGTCTAGAGACTAGGGCCACCTTTACCAGATATCACTATTTATTGAGAGGTGGAGTAATTTGTATATATCCCTATCTCCTTGTAAATATTCCCTTCACTTTCTATATTATATCCTGTGCTTATTTCTCACTGTTTAGCATATCTCTTACTATTCCTTTTGTGTTTTGACTTTTCCCCCTGGATGATTACACTAGGCTCTGTTGTAGCCAGTGTTATATACATTTCCTTATAAACACAAAGGTGGAGATTGCTACTATTTTTTCTGTTAGTTCTCATATCATTACATTTGTATCCTGTGAGGTTAATATGGCATGCTTAATTACCAATCATTATATTGAGCATATCACTTGGTATTTAGACAGCTATTTGAGAACTTAAGGGATTTTTTTTTTCTTTCTTCCCTAAACTGAATTAAAGCATAGAATATCCATGAAGGGGTTTACATGAGACTGAAGGTCTAGAGACTAGGGAAACCCTTACCACAGACCTCTGATAACCCTAGAGAGGCGGATTTCATTTGTTAGATCCCTATTACTTATCACTCTGTATTTATCCTTCTTTTTATATATATTATTTCCTGTATGCTTTATTCTCACCATTTAGCATATCTCTCACTATTCCTTTAACATTTTAGTTTTTGCTTATGGAAGATCACACTAGGCTCTGTTGTAACCAGTGCTGTATATACTTCCACGAGGGCTTAAACACATAAAGGGGGAGATTGCTATCTCTTCAGCTAGTTCTCGTACTGCCAATCCATACCCGTTTGGAACTAGTGTGGTATGCTTTATTATTGAGCATCTTACTCAGGGCTGTTCTCCCTCATATCAGACTACACTGTTTAATTTGTCCTAGTATGTTTTAGAGTTGTAATAAAGTTATTTTGTTATTATTATTTTCTCCTTTAAGATCTTATTGGAGTGGATTCGAAATTTAACCTTGTGGTCACTTTCTATTCAAGTGACACCTTTGGTTCTCTATTATACTAAACATATACTCCAGATTTGTAACAGAGGATAGGTTTTTGTTATCATGTTCTGTCTGTGAGATATAATCTTTGTAGTTAGCTGACTCTGCCTGCCTTTTACGTGTTAACTGATTTTCATATTCCCAAATAACTCTGAAAAATAGTTTCACTGCTGGTCAGCTTACAAGTTCGCATGAATTTGTGTATTCTTTGGAGCTTGAAATTTATAACGAAACTGTCCAAAATCCCTGTGCAATCATGTCCAATATTGGAAGTGCAATTGTTTGTTTAACAACTTATTTTCTGCATTAGAGAATAAAACTGAAAAATCAATATGTAAAAGCCATATATGACCCTAAATATATTAACTTTTTTTTTTTTTTTTTAATGATTCTCACGAGATCTTATTTCTTTTTATTCTTTTCTCACTCTAGATTTTAGGGAGGCATGTTTGCTATTGATCCAGTCTCAGTGCTTCTGTCAATTGTTGGCTTTCTTTTTTTGCTAAATACTTTTTATGGCCGGAAAGGAAAATGCCACAAGAATTTTCCACCAGGACCAAAACCTTGGCCAATAATTGGAAACTTGCACATTTTGAATACACAAAAACCATTTCAAACATTTCAAAAGGTAATATTTGTTCTAGCAGCATTGGGTATCTTAAATGAGCTTAGCAGACCGTATTCACACGCTGGAGTAAAACAAAAGTAGAAAACACAAGCTATTATAGAGATTTGCTATGCGTTTTATTATAAGTATAGAGTTTATGCCCTGTTTTATTATTATTTTATATATTATATGATTTTTATTATTATTGTACCTTACTGTATAAATGTTTACATTGTTATTTGAAAAAAATATTTGAATAAAAATCATGGCAAATGAACACAGCCTGCAGCTTTGTGGGCTATGTACAATATTTCTTGGGAGTGAATGTTGAATGACCCATTTTTTTGTTCTTTCTCTGGTTTTTTTATGTAGGTTAGAGTGTGATTACTACTACAAATAATATTTTTTAAACAAAAAATATAGAAAATAAGTCATTTTCATAAGCCTGTCTTATTTATAAACTAGAATCAATCTCATATAATTATGTCTGAATAGTTTGGTGACAGGCCCCTCCTCTCAGCTGATTTTCACATATTCCCTAGTGTTTTGAGAGAAGAAAGTATCTTAAATAAAAGGTTCTGGGCATTGTGATTTTAGTGGATAGTTTTTTACTAATGTTATCAGGCTTTAATTCCCCTTGTAAGCTGAAGGTCTTCTGCCTGGACCATTTGTACAAGTCATAGGTGCTGTGTATGGGGCAGTGATTTCACCAAGGTTCTCTGCATCTTGTTTTTAAGTAAATACAACATGTTTTTTAATACTTACTGTGTTTAATAGAATAGTATAATATATCTCATATATTACAATTATTTTCATAGCGCCATTATATTCCGCAGCGCTGTACAATAGGTAAACAAGACAAACATTTCCTTCTAACAAAACACATACAACATATGGGAACAATAGGTGAAAAGGGTCCGGCCCAAATGAGCGAACAACATATTACACATATTTTGTTACATTTTTAATAGTATACACCAGACAGCCTAAACAAAAACTCAGGAAAGCAAATCAAGCCACTATATAAATGCTGAAAAATTATAACTCCTACCCGGCTGTAGACAGGCATCCATGGAGTGAAAAGTGAGGCTTCTTCTTCACTAGGGCTTTAAAAATAGAAATCCAGCCGGTAAACCACCCAACTGAAAATGTAACACTCTGCAGAGCATAACAAGAGAGTGCGAATAATAGAAAAATGTAATGTTCAATAAAAATACAAGGCACGCAAATAGTGGAGAGCACAAATCCGAATGTACGAAACCAGGAGAACAGCCTAATGCTTTTAATAGAAAGTGCTCTCCTATATTTTATTTATTGAATATTACATTTATCTAGTATTTGAACTCTTTTGCCATGTTCTACAGAGTGTTTCTTTTCTTTTTACTCTTCTTTTTTGGTTGGGTGGAATACCAACTAAATTTCTATTTGTACACCAGATAGTCTACCTACCTACAGTTAGCAACACACTACCAAGTACGTTTTACCACATCAGTAGAGCTGTTGATACCTCCTTTTAACAAAACTGCACCCTATTTATTTATTTAATTAGAGAGTATTGATATATAGCTACAGATGTATTAAAAATATGTTAAATATCATATCATTCCATGTTGTACTTTGCAGTTAGCTGAGGAGTATGGCTCTGTATTCACTTTTCACATGGGAATGAAGAAAGTGGTTGTACTGTGTGGCTACGATGCAGTGAAAGATGCTCTTGTCAACCACGCAGAGGAGTTTTCTGATAGACCTTTCATACCTATTTTCCATGATACATCCAAGGGACACGGTAAGTTTATTCTCAGTTAGCGGTAAAACTGAATTACAAAACGCAAGCAAAAAATTCAGGTTTGCCATTTTTTAATTCACCACTTTTTTTTTTTAACCATTTTAGTGAGTAAACCATGTATTTCTGTTGCAAAGATTAGAATCCATCAACATACACCAAATAGATTATTTTAGAGAGATGGGCAAGTGAATATATACAGAAATATAAAAATAAATTATTTTAAACTCAAACCTAAACAAGTTCTAAATCACACATTTCAAGATGCATTACAATGAACATTTGTAAAGAACAACTGCTATGATATTAAATACATGCCAACATTTAGACCTTATTTTTAGGTCTGGCATCAATGGTTCAGAAACTCTATCCGTGTTTTATGAGTCTGGCATCACCACCATGGTGTCTCTTATGTTTATGAAACACAGTAGTTATGAAAGTGTTCTTTGTGAAATATAGAGAGAACATTAAAATATTTCTTGGGCTAAATGCATCTTTTACAAGCCTTTTGTTAATGTAGGTATGGTCCTAAATATTCTGCAATTAACATCTTGTTGGCCTTTCACATCTCGAGCTATTAAACACATTATTAATTATTAAGTAGATATAAAACTAATTCTGTGGGTTGATATATAACCAAGTGCTTTCGCTTTACTTTTAAATCTCATTATGCACTGCGGCACAAATTGAAAAAAAACAAATAGAAAAAAAAAAGTTTTAACCATTTTGTTGCAAGGGAGAAAGTTGGGAAAAGCAGGTTGTTCACTACAGTGAGAATTCAAAGTAAATTCAACAGAGGATTTTGAAATTTAAGGTTGAAAGAGCCGAACCTGAAATTTTCAGTCAGCTATGCTTCAAGCTCGGCTGCTTTGGCGTTAAATTTAAAGCCTACTTTGAATTGTCACTTTAGTGAATAAACCCAATAGATCTCAAATAAGGCACAATAATTGATTTATTCAACAGTCACCTGTTGTAAATTTACGTGGGATTGACAAAAAAAAATAAAAAATTAGGTGAGGTGGAATTTTTTTTTTTTTTTTTTAAACTTGGATTTCTCACCTAACTTTTTCAATCCTGTTGTCAACTCAGTGCAGTTTCCCGTTTAATTAATTAACACCTATGTTAAAGGGAAACTATAGTACCAGGAAAATAAAGTTGTTTTCCTGGCACTATAGCTCTCAATATTGTCCCCTCCAGTCAAGCCCCCTCAGGGAAAGGTTTAAAATTCCCTTTTGTCAATTACCTAAGCCCAGCACCGATGTCCCTCAGCACTGGTTCAGGCTCCACCTCGGCTCTCCCTGTCAGCCTGCGGGGGAGACCTAATGCACATGCACGGCAAAGGCCTGCGGTCACATTAGTATTAGTATGTATAATGCTTTCCTATGAGGTTTTACATAACACTGGAAGTCGTCATGCATAGCGTGAGGATGTCCAGCATCAGTTAAGCGACCAAAAGTTGACTACAGCCACTACAGGTGGAGTTAACCCTCAAAGGTAATTATTGCAGTTAATTCAAAACTGCAATGGTTACCTTTGCAGGGTTAAGGTACCTGAGACACTTCAATGAGCTGAAGTGGTCAGGGTGCCTATAGTGTCCCTTTAACTGATGGCTAAATTTGTCACTGCAGATATTTGTGAGCAACAATTCCCACGATGCTTTGTCAGCTTAAAGGCATATAGTCCAGTTATAGTATTCTATTTTCTCAAAGTTTGCTGTTCAGAATAAACCACACTGGCATAAAACCTTTTACTTGAACCAGAATGGTAGCCCTGGGGACAAATAGCAGAGCTCTATGCACTGTTTTCTTAATATATATATATATCTTTTTGCTAATATATATGGCTGGGAGAAAAACTGAGCTGACACACGTTTTTCAGCTGTTTAGCAGAGGGACAGAGTTCATTTTTGTGACACAGATACTCGTTTCATATACAATGTTTCGGTCACTCTGCTTTATAAAAAAAATAAAAAAAAAATAAAAAATTTCTTGGGCTAGCAGCCCAGCCTGACACATGACCGACCAAATCCGGACTGCAGACAACTAAATTGATTTGCTATGTTGACAAGCAGTTTAAGGGGGCAAATTATTTCTTACCTAGTGGCTATCATAGATATTATGTCACATATTAATGTAATACAATAACACAAAGAATCGTAAGACATTTAGAGCTAATGATGGGTTAGTAGTCAATCAGGTAACCTTCTGTCTGGCTACCAATTCTATAATGGGCTATGTAGCGGAGCTCCCAATACCCTGGATCCGCCAAGGATCACTTCCTAGCTGGAACCGGGGAAAACCTCAGCGCTTCTGCCCCAGTCATCGTGGCTTGACTGGGGTCCTCCTGGAGTATCTCCATCCTGGAACAGGATAGGGACTGGTTTTATTTCCTCCCAGGGACTGGACAACACACAGTTCTGGGAGCTATAGTCCTACAAGGACTTTCCCCACTGAATCCTCCATGAGATGGAACAAGGTGTTGAGCAATGATTAGCCCCTTTCCCTCCCAGTGACTAGACGACACATAGTTCTGGGAGTACAACAGATTTAAATGAGCCAAACTCAGATAATTATGCACCCATTTAACCCATTAGGCACCCCCATGCCTAATATGAATATGAACACAGAATATGTATTATTCTACAATAAATTACTAAATTGTGACTCAATCCCAATTTTGTGGCAGTGTGCTTCTTTACTAAAATAAAGGTATTTTCATTGTGTAAATTGGGCTTCATAAAATTATACAGATTTTTACTAATAGTTATTGTTAAAAGAAACTGTAAGTTTGAATGTATTAATTAACACGTTTAACTCCATTAATAACTCAGCAAACATCACTTATTTAATTTAGGTATCGTTTTTGCTCATGGTGAAAACTGGAAAGTTATGAGAAGATTCTCTCTTACTACACTACGAGATTTTGGAATGGGAAAAAAAGTAATTGAAAACCTGATTAATGAGGAATGTGATTCATTGGTGGAAGTATTTAAATCATACAAAGGTTAGTGATCAATCATAACTGGGGAATACTTGCTTAAAAGTAATTGGTTTAGAAAGCATTCTCTCCAGTTAAAGGGCATATGTAGAATCATATGTTAATGGATTGTGTTAAACTGCTATCCAAATAAACTCAAAAATAGAAACATAAAGATAATATTTTGATTTAAAAATGTTATTTGTAAGTTTCCTTGATAGACGCTCCTTTGGCAGCAACAAGTTGGTGAACAATTTTCAAGCTATCATTACTCTCCAATATAAATTCTAGTGTCTAAATTTAAGTGCGTAAGGTCATATGTCCAGTGAGGTTTAACAGTCTCCTATAGAAAACATTTAAACAAGAGCAGTAGTATTGCATATAAAAATGAGGATATATATATTTAACCCCTTAAGGACGAGTGACAGACGAGGTCCGTCACAGAGGGGAGACCCTTAATGATGAGTGACGGACCTTGTCCGTCACACGGTAAAATTAACCCCGGATTGCTGCTATCGTGGCGATCGCGGGGTTAATGGTGCTCCCGGTATGCCTCTGCATTAGAGGCATACCGGGAGCACCCGGTCAGGCTGCCCAGCACATGTGCTCGCTCTGACCGCAAGTCAGAGCGAGCACATGTGCTCAGTGTACTTACCTTCCGCCTCCCTGCACTTCCTGGTTCTCTATGAAGTGCAGGGAGCCGGAACAGTGCTGATCCTGCCCCTTGCTGTAAAAAAAAAAAAAGTGAATTTAAAGTCCCACCCCCCCTTTACCCATTTTAATAAAAAATTAACCCCTTCCCTGCCAATTGATCACTGACTACAGTGATCAATTGGCAGGGATTACATTTTACTATGATCTGATTTTTTTTTATGGGAAAATGGGGAATTTACTGTTAGTGCTGCTTACTGCTAGTTAGGGGTTAACGGTAAAAAAAAAAGCTTAGAAAAATGTTAAATCTGTAAAAAAGTTAAGAACATTTAGGAAAGTTTAAAAAAATTAATAAGCAAAACAAAAGTTTAAAAACTAGTTTTTAAAAGTAAAAAAGTAAAAAAAAGTAAAAAAATACATTTTAAAAACGCTCATTACCACTACACCTGGAACAAACTAGAGAAAAAATTATCCCACGCCAAGGTTCAAAATATGCCTTTTGAAATACCCTGGGATGTCTTCTTTAAGAAATGGTATGGCTTTATGGGGTATTTGGATTATATAGCCTGGTAAAATACTCTAAAATGGGACATAGGTACAGCATAAAAATTCAAAGTTTGAAAAAAACTGGAATGGCTGTGTCCCAAATGTGCCCCTCTGATGTCCACACATACCTGGCAAAGGTACATACGGGGGTATTGCTGTACTCAGCCGACATAGCTGAGCAACATATGAAGTATTATACAGTCGTAGCACACATAAGGTTTGCAAAATATACTGTGCAAACTCACTTTGTATGTCAAAAAGGCAGAAAAACCGCTTACTACCTCTACATCTGGTACAAGCTAGCGGAAAAATGATCCCACGCTAAGGTTCAAAATATACCTTTTGAAACACCATGGGGTGTCTACTTTAAGAAATGGTAGGCGTTTGTGGGGTAGTTTGAATTTAAAACCTGCTAAGATGCTTGGAAATTGCACATAGGCCCAGTGTCAAAATTCAAAGTTTTGTAAAAACGGATATGGCTTGGTCTCCTATATGGCACTGTAGCTTCACGAAATAGTGCCAAGGACATTCATATGGGCTGTCATTTTACTCAGAAGACTTAGCTGAGCATAATTTGGGGGGTTTGAACTTAGTGGCACATATGAAATATACAAAATGCCCAGCAAAAATGCAATCTGTATGTAAAAAATGCACAAAATTATTTTTTACCACATACTTTGGCATATATTGGTGAACAAATGGGGGCATGTTAAGGCACAACATGCACCTTATGAGATACCCTGGAGTGTCTACTTTTACAAATGGTAGGCCTTTGTGGGGGATATACAATGGGGGTGTCATTTTACTCAGCAGATGTAACTGAACACAAAATAAAACTTTGTACAGGAATAGCACACACCAACTTTACAAAATATACACAAGAATTTCTTTGTTATAAGTTTGTGTGCCAAAAACCAAAAAAAACACAATTTTACTCCAATATTTAGCAGAGGTTGGCGGTGAAATGGCTACGTAGAAAGTGTCAAAACAACCTTAGGTAAATAGCCCGTGATATCTACTTTATATAAATATATACTTTTGTGTGGCAATTTTGTTTTCTTTTATGGCTATTAAGCTTACAAGACAAACATACCAAATTCTAAAATCGCTCCACATTAAAAGTCTATTTTACTCCTTTGTGACCTGTAACTACCAAAAAAAACTTAAAATCCCAGACATATTATACATTTTTCTGTATTTTTTTATAATAAATAAGCATTTATATATATGTGTGTTACATCAAATTAAAGCCCTTTCTGTCCTTTAAAAAACGATGTATAATATGTGTTGGTGCAACAAATTAGTAAAATGCAAATTGCAGTTGAATGCAAACAGCAAAAAATGAAAAAAATGCTGTTGTCATTAAGTGAAAGACAAGCTTTTGAAGCTCTGTCCTTAAGGGGATAGATAGGTAGATAGACTGAGAGCACTGTTAAAGTGAGGGAAAAGCAAGTCTTATGGCTTGACTGGTGTGTGTATTTTTGTTTAGCAGTGTATTAACTATCCATTTATTTCAGGTGGAAGGGATTCTGGGTAGGCGTATGCAGACTCCCTTGCAATAGTGAAAGCAATAATATAGATTAACAATATAAATATATAATATATATATCCATATTGTATACATGTATCTTATTTAATGTAAGTATTTTTTGTTTTTTCTTATTATCCAAGGAAAGCCTTTTGGCAACAAAATTATTATAAATGGAGCTGTATCCAACATAATTGTATCTGTACTACTTAGCCATCGCTTTGATTACAATGACCCAACATTTGTGAAGCTTATGGGCTTAATCAACTCAAATCTGATGACCTTAAGAAGTCCTATGATTGTGGTAAGAATTATTTTTTTGCCAATAACATTTAATTATTCACTTTCTGTTTGAGTAGAGTAGAGATCTAATGTCAACTTGCATGTATATATATACTCACACACATCCAAAAGACTTGCACTCATGGACTGAAATGCACTTAATTTAACCTGGTGCCAGATCCAGCAGTTTATGGTAATAGAAAGCAAAAAGTAGATAACACTCTTGGATATTGAAACAAAAAAATAGAACGTAACATAGTTATTTGCATTAAAATCTCATTTAAAAAAAAAGTTTTAAATATAGAACGGAAGCGTCAATAAATAAAAGTTAAGTTGTTCAATCAGATAAGTACATGGAAACCAGGGAGCGCATACCACTGTGCTGTGAAGTGTAAATTAAATAGAAGATCAAAGAAAAAAACTAAAAGTGAGGTAAAGAAAAAACTCCTCACTTACCCCTCTGGGATTCAGGGCGCCAGGCGAGGAACTCCAAATCCAAAAAGGAAAATGTTTATACCTCAAGGCACAAGGTAAAGGTCTTGACTCCTATGTCTAAGAACCGGGTGGCCCGAAACATGCAAGGAAGAATTTCCTTTTGACTTTTGTTTGTTTATGTACCTTGTGGAATAAGCCTTTCCTTTTTGATTCGGAGCGCTTGCTTTTGCTGGCGTTATTTTTTTCGTTTTTCTTTGCAATCAGATAACACTCTCCAGATATGAATAATAATAATAATAACAAAGTATTTAACCAGGAAAGGTCCATTTTCAAGTACATCCTGGGGAATGACTCTTTTTTTATTTAATAAGGTAAAAAATTCTTGTTTTCAAGAGATGAACATTTCTCCATGTTGATGTCAATGAGTTTAAATTCTTTTAACGGGACACTATATTTACCAAAAAAACGTTACCTTAATGAAGTAGTTTTGGGTATAAATCATGCCTTTGTAGTGTAACTGCCACATTTTCTGTCATTTAAGAGTTGGATTATTTTGTTTAGCAAAACCTCTTCTGCCTGTGGCTCACACATCCTCCTTAAGCTCAAAGCAAGCTGTGGTGGTTTTGGTGATTGGAGTGTTCCTTTAACTCTAAATGCTTCATTAAGCTGCAGTTTTGCAAAATTCCTACCAACTCACAGTGGTGGATGTGGAGATGACAAAATCGAAAGGTCAAACGAATAGAATGTCAAAGAATATCAATAATTTGCAATCCAAAATGCAAAAAAAGCAAAACAAATCTCAATAATGCAAACTATAATTGTTCCCACACAAGCTTATAAGAGATTGAAAATAATATTTATCTCCAATTTCTCTGAATAGATTAAGACATTCCATCTATCCTTACTTGAGATAATATTTTCTTTTTATTTCCATTAGCTGTACAACATGCTTCCATCTTTGGTTCGCTTGTTACCTGGAAGTCATAATATAGTTTTTGAAAATGTCCGTAAGATGCAGACATTTATTAAAGAGACATTTGCAAAGCACAAGGACCAGCTGGACATGAACGACCAAAGAAATCTCATTGATGCATTTCTTGTCAAGCAACAAGAGGTAACCACATCACTTTTAAAGGGAATTTGACTTATACAAAATATATTGATTAGAAGGTAAATTTAGCTGGATATTTAAAAAAGTAGGGCTCAAAATTTCCACTCGCCTACATTCACAAACACACTGACATGACCTGTATTCATGTGAAAGTGCTGTTCATGTGCATGTGCAGCTAGTAGCTCAGGACTTTCCATTTTGAGCCCTGATTAAAGTAATAAAAATATTTAAAAACATCTGAATTTGACTAGCTTTAAGACCCAGCTCTCTCTGCTTTATCTTCATCGTCCCCTTAGTTTCTCATCCTATAAATGGGAAGTTAAGGATTATTAAAATGGAAACCATGACTGCCCTCCCCCGATTACTTCCCTAAATCTATCCTGATGAGATGGGAGGATATTTATAAAACGTACCTCTAATAACAAGGAATAAAACTCTGGACTTCCTCTGATCCATGCCACATATGATGTTATGTTTATGTAACAGTGAGGACAGACCTCATCAACTCCTTGCCTCATTATCTGAGCTGTCCTACTAGGGATTCTAAAGTCTAGAGGTCCCCTACTGAAATGTTCTTCTATCTTCTCCTTTGTTGACCCATAATACTATGTCTGGGTCACCCTTACTTACTATCAGGGAGTTCCCGTTTCCCAAAACCAGAATTAATGTGTATAGTCTATAGCGCTAATATGCCCTTTCTTTATAATAAAAAAAAAGTCTATGTAAAATAAAATACCTGTGGCTCTCCTGGTCTTAAAGGATCACTATAGTGTCAGGAAAACAAAGCGGTTTTCCTGACACTCTAGTGCCCACTGGTGTATCCTGGTTTTGTGCTACCCTATGCTGCGGGGGGGTCCTCTCTCTCCCTGGGGTCTAGTGGGGCTGCTGGTCGGTTGGGCGGCACTGACGAGGGAGCACTTTCCCCTGAGCTGTCTGCTCAGCTCCCTCGCACGCCGCAGAGTGATACCGGGAGCCAGAATATGACGTCATATTCCGGCTCCCGGCATCACTCTGCGGTGAGCGAGGGAGCTGAGCAGGCAGCTCAGGGGAAAGTGCTTAAAACCCCTTCAGCAGTTTACCTTATTCCAGCGCTGGGCTCCCTCGGCACTGGTGACCTCTCCTCCCCCGCTGACGTCAGCGGAGCCGAATGCGCATGTGTGGCAAGTGCAATGCTTTCCTATGGATGCTCTGCGCGATGGAGGCATAATATGCCTCCAGCGTCGCAGATGCGCCTCTAGTGGCTGTCTGGAAGACAGCCACTAGAGGCTGGCTTAACCCCAAATGTAAACATAGCAGTTTCTCTGAAACTGCTATGTTTGCATCTGAAGGGTTAAAACCTGAGGGACCTGGCACCCAGACCACTTCATTGAGCTGAAGTTGTCTGGGTGACTATAGTGTCCCTTTTAACCCCTTAAGGACCAAACTTCAGGAATAAAAGGGAATCATGATATGTCATACATGTCATGTGTCCTTAAGGGGTTAAACGTCTGCTCACTGATAAATACACTCACTAAATACAAAAAAATGCAAACTGAAAATAAAAACATTATCTGCCTATTACCATACACTGGTTAATATGGTTTTCTTCAGAAACCTCACAATTAAATATTTTGTGGGGGTTTTTTTAACTTTTTCATGTATTCATAAACTGACTGTTGACACATAGCAAATTAAAAAGTCACATTTCGAAACAATGCTTAAATCTGCAACCAAATTCCATTTTGAGAATTGCCTATTGGATTATTGTCTTTATTTTATATTATTTTAATTCATTTCTGTTTTATTTGATTACTCTCTCTCCAGTTCTGTAAAACTTTCATATTTCTGCAGCTTTCAACTTTCTGCAATATCATTTTGCATTAGACTTGTGCATTGTGGAAAAATTTGTTTGGACCTGAATCACTTTGTCCAAAAATAAAATCTAGTTTGGGTAGCCCAATAGTTATTCATGTGACCATTTGGTTTGTGCAAACATTGTCCATACAAAATATTCAGAGAAACCAAAAAGGCCTGGAATATGTATACTGCAAGGATGGGACCTTTTATAAGGACTTGGTAGCAATGGATTCCCAGTCGCTAGTTTTTAATGCATAGCAGACATGCCCCCATGTGCCTGATGGCATTTGGAGCTATATGGAGGTACATTACCTCTATTATAGTATGAAGAGGGGTCTTATTGACAACCCTAAAGGATTTTAATTTTTTTAATTTATTTTTTTACTTTTTCAGTGTGACTACTGGCTATCAAGTTCTGACTATCAAGCTCTGACTAGCCACCACATAATTAACCCCTGTGCCTCCAAAATTATTTTCGCTTGCTGACTGCTAGTTCTGCCAACATTTCAGCTGTTTGGTTCGGCTGAAATCCAGACCAAATCCAGGTCCGTTCGGCCCCTGAATTACAAAAGCAAACACTGATCAATTCAATCAACAATGTCCAGAGTTGGCAATACAGGAGTGAATGGATTTGCCCGATTTGGTTCAGGGACATTCAAACTTTAGTGAATAACCGTGTTAGTTTCTGTCCACTAACCATTAATCATTTTTTATTCTAATAAATCATCTTTTTTTTGGTGCCACAGATGAAAGTACTAAAACAAACATGCTTGTCCATAGCTCAAGTTGTTTGTTCAGTTCTACATCCATATTGTGCTCTGGAGTTACAGAATTTTGGACAACTCAACAATTGGTCTAAATTTAGATGATTTGCAATTCATCTGAAAACAAATGCACAAGTCTATTATGTATACATTATATAGTTTGTTTTTTTTACCTACATTTTTTCTTTTTTTTCGCTACAATTCAGGAAAAACCCAAAGGATTATTTTTCCATGATGATAATTTAACAGCTCTTGTGAGCACTTTGTTTGCAGCTGGAACAGAAACAACCTCCACGACCCTTCGATGGGGCATTGTGCTAATGATGAAATATCCAGATATCCAAAGTAAGACATCGGTTTATGTGTTGGAGACATGAACAACTTTGTAACATGTCAAAATATTGGCTTTACTACATCAGGGAACTCTGCATGGATATCACATGTACGATTAGAAGCACTCACACTGTCCAGCAGGCACTAGGACCATACTCAAAGTACTTCAGCAGTGCTCCCTGCATGATCCTGTCGGTAAGGGGCCGCCCAAACAGGCTGTCACATCTTTTCAGTAGGCAGGCCCACTCCTTTTCTAGGTAGCCCCACCAATTGTGGGCATTATCAGTGACATAAATTGTGTCACTGATGACACCCCCTCAGAGCCTGCCCCTTCCTCCTAAATGCATACCTGCCATTGGTAGAAGACATGTGTTTTCCAAAAAATTAAACAATACATTATGGTATTTTGGTTCATTATAATACATAATATTCACACAAAGATATTTTATTTTATAGAACATGTACACTGGCAAACCATCATAAGTGACGTGAGAGCTACATAAATACTTTGTAAAAGGAAGAGGTGAGGGGGAGGGTGCGACAATGAATAAACTGCATGTGGTGTTGTAGTAGCATACAGGCATTTTTTAGACTCAGTGATGGTAGGTTAAGAATTATATGTTTACTTTTGACCTATCTGAAGAATTGTGAAACAAGTAATACCAATTAATGTCTCATCATTTAGACCCCCTAAAAAAAAAGTGTAAAAACTAATCAAAAACATATTAATAAGTTATATATTTGTTAGTTACAGAAATATTATAAAAGAATATATGAAGACAACTGGTAATGGTAAATTATTATCAGTGAATGTACATGGACTAAATATGAACTTTGAAAGACAATTTATTTTAAAACAATGAAGGAAAAAATAAAAAAATAAAAATATATATATATATATATATATATATATATATGTACTTCATTTAAATATTTATGTATCACAGAGCCTTTAATTCATATGCTACTTTATCATCTTATGTTTGAAATTGAACATTTTACCATCAATGACACCAATAAACCTGGGTCTTAGTGTTATTTTCGGAGGACAGAAACTTGGTAGAAAAGGTATCAATACAAAACAGTCATACATAACATAATGTTCATGTATATTGGTGTTAAAATTTTTTATCATTTAGATTATATATATTTTTGAGTGTAATGCTTTAGCAGATGCATGATGGCATGCTAGTAAATGTAAGTAAGTATGTGGATTTATATTGCAGTTGTATAGTCTGGACAACAGTCATTACATAGAAATGGTATATATTTTAATAGCATACCATTTTTATTGACAGAAAATGTCCAAAATGAAATAGACCATGTGATTGGATCTTCTCAGCCTCAAACAGAACACAGAAAGGACATGCCATATACAGATGCTGTCATTCATGAAATTCAAAGGTTTGGTAATATTATACCTAACAACCTTCCACATGCAACTACTCGTGATGTCACATTTAGAGGATATTTTATTCCTAAGGTGAGTGAGTACCTTGCAATATATTCATATTAATTTGTTGTATTTGTGTCATAAACTCAATGATTTACTGTATTGACTAAACACTTTCAAATATAATCGTATTAATATTTTTCAGTTATTCATTAAGTTAAAGTCATGCACATGAACAATTTTCCCCTAATTCCTAGATTCAAGATGGCAATATTTCCCAATAGGAAATTGTAAATTTGTAATAAAATACTATGGAAGCTATGTAGTTGCGAACCTTGGTATCCAATCTAATCTGTGAGACGATAAAGGCAGAAATGTTTAATTGCTTCTACCTTTTATATGTGTAATTAACAGTAATGTGATTATCAGTGACATCATACATGCACCATCTCAAAATATTCCTATACCATAAATGAATATTGTTACTAACTTATAATTGTATCTGTAGGGGTCTTATAATAATCTCTAATTAAATTGTACTAGTTCTGCTCGCAACCCACTTCAACCTAGTTTAGTTTACTGATAGTCCTTCATTCATGAATGGAACACCTGTTAATGTTGATGGTTTATTATCTAGATGTGGTTAGACAACACTGGGCACCAGAAGGTCTTCTGAAAATCTGGTTAACTACAGAATCAGGGCCGCCATCAGGGGGTGACAACCATGACGATTGTCACGGGCCCGGCGGTCCTGGGGGGCTTTGGCAGTCTAGGGCCCCACAATTACTCTCTGCACATATATATAGCGATGATCGCTATATATATGAGCAGCCGCGGGACCCCGCTCCCTGTACTTGCAGAGGGGGCCCAGTGGACTGCAGCTGTACTTAACAGCATTTCCCTATCTCTAACTCCCGCGAGACCCGCGGCCATCAGAGCGTTGCCACGGGTTACAATGGCAATGCTCCACACGGCGCGCACACCATGCTCGCGGAAGTTACAGAGAGGGAAGAGCTGTAATCCGCTGAGCACCCTCTGCAAGTACAGGGAGCCAGGGGCCCCACCATGCCACTGGACCACCAGGGATGGTATCTCCCCCCTCCCTGAACCAGGTAAGGAACAGGGAGGGGTGAATAACGTACATTACATGCATACACTAGTAAACAGACACACACACTCTGCATTCACTACACTGACCCACACTCTGCATTCACTACACTAACACACACTCTGCATTCACTACACTAACACACACCCTGCATTCATTACACTAACAGACACACTGCATTCACTGCACTGACACACACTCTGCATTTACTGCACTGACACACACTCTGCATTCACTACACTAACACACACTCTGCATTCACTACACTGACACACACTCTGCATTCACTACACTGACACACACAATCTGCATCCACTCCACTGACACACACTCTGCATTAACTATACACACAGCATCCACTACAAAAAGTCCTGCATCATTGTCGGCGGATTCGTGGGCGGGCCAGGCGTGGGGGTAGGGCGGGCTGGGGGAAAGGGGCGTAGGGGGCCCAGACCTTGTGCTTTGTCAGGGGCCCCAAAATTTCTGGTGGCAGCCCTGTACAGAATACAAGCAGGATAATGGTAAGAGATTGAGAAATAAAAATAAGGGGATTTATGATGGTTTGAGAACAGCATTGTTACAGATAAGGGAAGGTATCATATATCACACATGACTAATTCCTCCTCTAAATAAGTTCATCCTACACAGACAATCATTAGTCTTGAAGGGAATTAATCCATATAACACTCAAGTAGATACCATCATGAGCTTGACAATTATTATCCAGGATTCCATGAATGGGTTGCTCTCTTTTACATGGTTAAATGAAGGGAAGGGAAGAACTATGGGAAAGGTTTCCATATCTTAAATTTTGACTGAAATGCTTGACTTCACTTAAATTCTAAACATTTTCCTGGACTAATGGTCAATTAGAGACATATTCTACTCTAGAGGATAACAAGAGGGAGACTGTATCTAGTGCTACTACATGAACATTCCAGTTGTATCTGGATTTTACATTTTAAATTTAAAGGGCTACATTTACACCCTGAGTGCATGTTTCCTATAGGTTATGAACATGTAGGACACATATAGAGGTTGTTTATTACATATTGAACTGATTTGATTTGAACTGTATTGATTTAAGAAATTTATTTGCAATCTTTGTGGGGTTTTTTTCCATCTCTGGTACTTATTTACTTAAGTTTGCAATTTCAATTTTTATTTCACTTAACACACTCGTGAATATACTAGGGATGTGCATGGGCAAAAAATTAGGTTCGGTTCGGAAAGTCAGGTAAGTAAAAATATTCGTCTGCTTCGGCAATTCGGACCAATGGCATTCGGTTCGCTTGGGTACTTCGCACTTCAGAACTTCGGCACTTCAGAACTTGTGGTAGCAGTCCTCACACTGGGAGGCAGGTGCCCTATAGATGTTTAAGTGGTTGTGGTAGCAGTCCATGAATTGGGTTTGAACAAATAAAACTTCTTTCAATTTTAGCCGGAACTAATCTTGATTTGCCTTTGGATTCCTAATCTAATAATAAGATAGAGCTGCGACAAACAAAATTTGTATCTGTGGGGTGCCAAAGAATGTTACAATAGAGAAAATCACACATTATCTGAGACAACTTTTATCTACTTTGTCTCCTAACCAGGCAAAATACATCACTTTAGTTGGCTATCTACATTTTTCTAAGGGTGCCTGATCCTCCGGAAATACTTCAATGTGGTTTCAGAAAGACTTTTCTAAACCAGCACTCTTGGGATCTGTTCCCGTTTATCATCACTCACTTTCAAGGGTTCACAGCTCTTGTTTTTTCTGGACTTATCCAAGCACACTGTAATGTGAAGACAAACTTTCTAAACACTTACTAAGATTTTGCTGAACAATAATGTTTCTTACCAATGGGGTCCTCACCATTTAGAAATGGATACCGATGGAGAGTCTTATACAATTACTATTCATTTTACTGAGTTCTCTGGGAACATGCACTGACTCCCTGCCACCTATTCTTCATAAAGGAATGTTGCCAGCATTCCACTATTGACCATGAGTTGATCTCACAAAGATATGACCTCAGACTTTCATTCGGGTTATTTTATTGTAGTGGACTGGATCTGTAAGCTAATGTTGAAACTACTTGTGATCAATATATTTCTTATATGTTGCATTATACCTCTATGTTTTTATTGTTATTTTCATTAGTGACACATTAAACCCATAGGTATATTGATGGGCATTTCAAAAATCCAACTAATTCCCCCCACTCACTTACTGGCATTCTGTTGGATAAATGTAGTAATAATGGTAATGGAGTTGTTTTTTGTGCAGCTATTGGTTTCATAATGTTATTATGTTTGAAATTCCAATGTTTCACAGTTTGCTCAAACACTAATCTTTTTTTTCTTGTACAAACTGTCCATTACAATGATATGTTCTTGAACTAATTTTGTGCTCTGAACTGTGTCAATAAAATAAAAATCAATAAAAAAATAAACAAAGTAAAATAGCCAAGCTCAGACAGAATTATTTTCTTCTGTTTTGCTTTTACCATAAACTTTGTTATTCCCTGTAAATAAACCACATTTTGCAAAACCTCTAGTGAGGATGATATTTTTCTCTCTAACGCCAGGTGGCAGAATATCTAAATAAATAAAATAATATTTCTATGTATTTGTCTATTTTTTCAATTACAAATATGTTGACTGTTCCTTATTTTTTTAGGGAACTGAGGTCATCCCACTTTTAGCATCTGTCCTGCAAGACAAGGCCTATTTTGAGAGACCAAAAGAGTTTTATCCTCAACATTTTCTTGACTCAGAAGGAAAATTTGTGAAAAATGAAGCATTTCTCCCATTTTCAGCTGGTAAGACCAATTTGGCAATATTTTTTTTTTTAACATGTATAAAATGTGATATATTGACAGCTGTTGCAGGTGTAGGTTTACTGGGGTTAAGAAAAAAATAAATATGCAATAACACAGACTAAAAACATGGGAGATTATATCTAGCTCAGCCCGTAAGAAATGAGAGTAAACTTTTATATTTTAGCTTTGATTTTTCCACCAGAAATAGGATACTATAAGTTACAACATTTCTCAGAACCTCACATGAAAATGTACTCAGTGTCTTATTCACTAAATTGAATGTATTCCAGTTTTGCAGAGTAAATATACTGTAAAACTGTCAAAGTTGCAGGGTGGAGTCTAACTGCTGAAGCGGACGGTCGCATGGCCACTGAGGTCCATACCACAACTCTCAACTCTCGGACATCTGCTAAACCCATCCCAGGGAGACCCCATGACTCACCTGGGCCCCATGGGTCGGAAAACTAAAATACAAAAAACCTGATAAGCCCCGGCTGGACATGAATATTGGGGAGCTAAGGCCGCAGGCTCACGACGCCTCTGGTTCCAAGATGGCGTCCCTCCACACAAGCTGCTTGGACTTTTATGATGAGATGTCAGATGAAGCAGAGGGTACTTCTCACCAGCCCCGATACTGCCATCACCAGCCTGGACGCAGCCCCTGCCAAGCGCGACAGCCCCCACACCGGTGACTATGGGCGCCATAGGTAAACTCATGTCAAATCACAATAAATAAATCTCGGCCAATGTGGCCACGATCCGAGACAACCTGCCAGTTAACAGAGCTACAAAAAGCAGTCCAAGAACTGCGGCAGCAAAATCTACTCCATGAACAACGATTTGCCACTCAGGAAGACAGGTGTCGCCAGAAAAACCTGAAAGTCAGAAGTGTCGCTGAGACCATCCCAGAGGCTGAGTTGTCACACTTCACCAGGCAGCTCCTCACAGCATTATTAACCCCAAAAGCGGCCAAAGCGGTCACACTGGATGGAATATTCCGCATACCGAGACCAACTAAGGCACCACCCTCTGCTCCCGGGGACTTGGTGATTCAGTTCCACAGCCAAAAAGACAAAGTCGCAGTCCTGGCAGCCACCAGAGATCAGCCCTGATCTCGAAGAGATGACCCTGACATTCTATTCGGATCTCTCAGGTGGGACACTGGTGTGGAGAAGGTCCTTGTGACAATTTACCTCCCTTCTGCATTCGCAACACATTTGGTGCTGCTGTGGCCCAGCTCACGCTCTGTTTGTCACCAAAGGATACACATCACATATCATACACAATATGCAGGAGGCCACAAATGTTGAAAGCCTTTTGGACCTCCCCCCGGATTCACTCGATCCACCTGTGCCATCAGCAAGGCCCATGCACCCCTTCAGCTTGGACGCAGCCAGCGCTCGATGGCCTACCACAAAACTCTATGCAGCAACCGCGACCTGAACCAGGGCCAGGTTAAACAGAAAGTTGGCGGGACGGGACATTCTCCCATCATACACAGACTTATAATTTTTTTCTAAATACCATCCGAACATTGAGACTTTACTTTTTAATTTAAAAGTTTTTGCATTGGACCAAAACCAATGACTTGTATGCACAGGCTTTGGCCCAGACTTATCCGACTGCCAGCTGACCATTAGTCTCCTCTACAGCTCGTGGTAATTCAGGCGCCTACCACAGCACAATAGCTTTCTAAGGGGCACGTAAAACCCTCTCTCATCACTCCACTCAGAAGACACATCTGCTGTACCTCGGCTAGCTCACCCCCTACTATTTAGTGCATAAACAGTTTTAATTTCTTTGTGTTTCATCAGTTAAAACTTTATTTTTGTTGAATCTAAGTATATGCATATTACTGCTTAGGTGACCCTAGTGAAGCGCTTCACCCCCAGGCTGACGCAGCTGACCATAAAATAAAATGTGCACTGATACCCATGCCACAATATGTTTTCCATAATGCGAACACTTGCTGTTGTGGTATAGTGAGCTGTTTTGTAAAGTATTTTCTATGCACACAAAAATAAAGAATAAAAACTAATTGGCAAAGTTGCAGTAAATTTAGAAATTGGCTTTGATACAACAACTAAACTTTGGTGAATAAATCCTTTTGTCTTTATTTTGTCTTTAATTATGTGATATTAAAAGGGTACCTTGAACACCATAAGTATTACAGTTCATCTTTGAAACAACACAGCTGTAATCTCCAGCCCAAAGATTTTGTAAAAATATTTTAGAGTTATCTGACTAAAACAGAGCTCTCACTGACATAACCCAGCTTCTCTCCAGCCACATTAAAAATTTTGAATTTACTCTTCAGCATTACCGATATCAATTCCATCCAACCAGCATTAAAAGGTGAAGAACAGGTTATGGGTGCAGTTACATTTTTGTTAAGCCACTCCCAAAATGATTGACAAAAAATATGGGATGCCTCTAAAACAATCTCTGCACCAAAACCACTATTCTGAGTTATAGTAGTTATGTTACTTATACTGCTTTTTAAAGATTTAAAAAAAAAAACTATTTCATTCATCACAAAAGAGACAGAATTATAATTTCAACTTAATAAGTAGAACAATTAAAAACTCGGCTCCTACACTTACCTTATCTATTCTTTTTGTGTCTATTCTAGGTCGAAGAAGCTGTGCTGGGGAAAACTTGGCTAAAATGGAATTGTTCCTGTTCTTTACAAGACTTATGCAAGCATTTACATTCCGGCCTCCACCTGGTGTAGAGGTTGATCTCACTCCTGTTAGCAGCATCACTTTAAGCCCATCTGCGCATGAGATCTGTGCCTTGCCACGTAACTAGGGCACATTTTTGATGATTAGTGGACAAGAAACAGATTTCCAAATAATCTTCTAAAGGAGAATCCACATACAATGTATCTGTGTAAATGTTTAACTCTATTTGAATCTAGTTTTACTGGTGTATAGATACATTTAATATTAAAAGTATATTATACAGAATCTTTTTGTACTTGAATAAAGCTTTATTTTAAGCATATAATGGACTATACATTTATAAGAACAATAAGTACAATATAAGAAATGCCTTGTACTTAAAATATTTACCCTATTTTATGTTTCGGTCCTGCCACTCAATGCTATGTTTCTTGACTCGTGTGTTCAATCTTTTACGTCAGCATGTTTTCCATGATCCACTTGCTCTTGGAGGACTTCACCATATCACATTTATCTCATTATATTCTTCAATTTGGAAGTCCCTTTTGCCCAATTTATTTGTTCTATAGTTGTTCTAGAAACTTTGCCATTCACATAGATGTATCCTCATGCAAAACACATTTTATAAGAAAGGTTACAAATATAGTTTTATGACAGAAAGTTTAAAATATCTAGCACAATACTGTTTTGAAAACTACCATTCCATATGGAGGAAAATACCTACTTTTGTTTTTCATCAAGTAAAACATACCAGGGATCAACCAAAGGGAAAACAAATAGAGAACATATTCCATCAATTTTTATAGGAAAAGCATTTAATATCATAGTACCAGCCCCTCACATACACATTTTGGCAAAAAAAAGAGCATGGGTGTGGAAATAGGGCCTAACCCCCAACAACTGCAAAAGTGAATATGGTCAGAGGAAGGTTTCCTCCAAAGTAAGCCATAAGAGGGTTTCAGAAAATGACAGAGTATGTAGAATTTGTGCCACTGTGACCCCTCTATAATAAACGTTATGTCTGGAATCCCCAGATCCCCATTTTCATTGGCAGACGAATAGTACTAAATGCAATTCTGGGAGGTCTGTCTGTCAGTGACATACACACACTCACTGAAAGACACATTGTCAATGACAAACACATACGCACAATGATTTGAAACACACTCACTGACAGACACACACACACACACAGGAAAACAAATAAGTTGAACCAAAAGAGCACAATAATGGGCCAATAAGTGTACTGTAAAATATATCCCTAATACAAATCTTTTTTTACTGCCTCTCTCTTTTTTCCCTCCATCATCTCTTTTTTTAGTATCATGGGCTGAATTCTGAAACACAAATCTAAACCCCTCACTAATGTAGGCAAAATTCTTATGGTCTTTTATAATCATTATGGGGACTTTAGCTCCCTCTACTAAATGTCTCCACTCTTTCAAAGCCAGCAATATAGCTAATAATTCCCTGTTCCCTATATCGTAATTAACCTCTGCCGGGGATAACTTTTTAGAGAAGAAGCCACAAGTATGGAGTGGAGTGTCTTGGGACTCACATTGAGAGAGGACAGCTCCAACTCCTGTCTTCGAAGCATCAACCTCTAGTACAAAAGGCTTGGAAGGATCAGGAAGTATGAGCACCGGGGCAGTAAAAAAGAGGGACTTCAGTTGCTCAAAGGCAGACAGTCCTGCATAAGGCCAGACATGGGTTTCAGCACCTTTACGTGTGAGACTAGTAATGGGAGATTTGACCATGGAGATTCCCTTTATAAACCTGCGGTAATAGTTTAGAGACTTGAGAGACATGAACATAGTGGGTTGTAATGTCTGGGGAATAAACAAGGATGTCATCTAGATAGACTAGAACACAAGAATGAATATATTCCCTTAATACATCATTTATCAGGTCTTGGAAAACAGCCAGAGTGTTACACAATCCAAAAGGCATTACGAGATATTCGTAATGTCCACTCCTTGTGTTAAATGCGATATTCCATTCATGGTTTTCTTTTGTCCTGACCAGATTGTATGCACTTCTAAGGTCTAATTTAGTAAACACAGTGTCCCCCTTAAGTCTATTGAATAGTTCCGTGATAAGAGGAATCGGATAGACGTTCCTTATAGTGATCTTGTTAAGGCTTCTGTAATCAATGCATGATCGTAGATCTCCCTCTTTCTTAGACACAAATAAAAACCCTGCACCTGCAAGAGAGGAAGATCTACATATAAAATCCTTGGCAAGAGCATCCTGGATATACTCTTCCATTATTTCACTCTCATGGGGAGACAGAGGATACACCCTTCCTCTAGGTTCCATAATGCCTTGAAGAAGGCCAATGGCACAGTCATAAGGTCAGTGTGGGTGGTAACGTCTCAGCATTGATTTTATTAAAGACCTCCTTAACATTGATGTATTGCAGAGGAACCACTCTGGATAAGGGAGCCGTAGTAGGTACATTGATACGACTGTAGGTTTTACTGAGAGAAGACATTGTTCTTTGCAGGTAGCTGTCAGGCTCCCGCGGACGGCTGCGAGGGGAGGCTGCACTCCGCTCGCAGTACTCACCCTCCAACCGTCCGCGGTCCCCTCCACCTCGTGGGTACGGCGAGCGGCATCCTTCCAGCCTCGGATGCCGCCCGCCGTTCCCTCCACATCCCCCAGCGGCAGCATGCATGAAGCTGCACGCTGGGAGACCGCCCAGGGTTATACACGCCGGGTTCAGTCACCTGACCCGGCGTTAAAGGCAAAGTGCCACAATCACAGTGGGAGGTCTAAATATCTCCCACGTGTGATTGTTAATTCTGATTGGAAATCATCCAATCAGAATTAACCTGATGGTTTAAATACTTACCTTTCCTGTTCCTCCTTGCCCTGTTGTGGTCTTTGCTTGTTAGTATTGATTCTGAACTTGTGCTTCTGGTTACGTTCTCTCTGGCTTGTTATCCGACTCTGTGACTTTCTCCTACCCTTTGACCTCGGCTTGTTTCACGTTATTCTGTCTTCTGGTTCCCCTTACTCGGCTTGTTTCCTGACTATTCTTTGTGTGCTTAGCCCGGCCACTCTAAGGTCCGGTACGGCACTTTGTGTGTGTGTGTGTGTGTTGGCGTGTTTGGTTCCCCGAATCGTGACATTACAACAGGGCCATAATGGAACCTGCTGACATACCACAGCTTCTAGTTAATCAAGAGGCTAGAATGGATGGCTTAGACCACCGTATGGATCAGTTTGCTCAAGCTTTACAAACCATTCTGGCTCGTACTGCACACTTGCAACCGGCCGTTCAGGAGGCTGCTGCTGCTGTGCCCGAACCCATTCCCACTCCAGTACCTGTTCCCGCTCATGTAGTTCACATGACGCCGCCACAGCGCTACAGTGGTGACCCAGCATTGTGTCGTGGTTTCCTCAACCAAATCGACATCCATTTGGTGATGAATCCACGCTCCTATCCCACTGACAGATCTAAAATTGCCTTTTTGATAAACCACTTGTCCGGGAGAGCTTTAGCATGGGCCAACCCCATTTGGGAAAATACGTCTCCTATGTCCTTTGCAGATTTTCTGACAGCTTTCAGACGCACGTTTGATCAACCCGGTAGGGTTGCTTCTGCTGGCAAGGCTCTGCTTAGGGTCCGACAGGGTAACAGGTCTGTAGCAGATTACACTATCGAATTTCGTACTCTAGCAGCTGAAGTGGTTTGGAATAATGACGCCCTCGTAACAGCCTTTCAGGAGGGTCTGGCCGCTTATATACTGGATGAAATAGCATCCAGGGAATTACCTGCTCTTCTAGATGATGTTATAGACTATGTGATTCTTATAGATAACCGTATTAGAGAGAGGCGTAGCCAAAGACGGTTGGATACACGGGTGTTACCTGCTCTACCCAGTACTTCCCTGCTAGCGTTACCCGCTCCTGTGCAGCCATCCCCTGAACCCATGCAGTTGGGTGCTACAGGGTTAACTGAGGCCGAAAGAGCGTACCGTAGAAGGGAGGGGTTATGCCTTTATTGTGGGAAGAGGGGGCATCACTGTAAAGCCTGCCCTAAACTACAGGGAAACTGCAGCACCTAAGGCCTAGAGAGGGGTCGGCCTCGGGTGTTATGACCTTGTCCCCTCATATGTCCATCTCTAGACCGTTTATTACGGTTTCTCTCTTGGTCAATAAAACCACTATAACAACCAAAGCCCTGATCGATTCAGGTGCGGCAGACAACCTTATGGATGAGACCTTTGCCAAAACTGCAGCCCTGAATTTGATTCGAAAGGAGACACCCTTGGCCGTTGAGGCCATAGATGGTAGACCACTGGAGAAACCTCTGGTGACCCATGAAACCCAGGAAATAGTTATGTCTGTGGGTGTTTTGCACAAAGAGAAGTTAACCTTCCAAATAATTAACTCCCCAACAGCCTCCATCGTTCTAGGTTTTCCCTGGTTAGTTAAACACAACCCTGTTCTTGATTGGGGTTGTTTAGACATACTTTCCTGGGGGGAATCTTGTCAGCGAGACTGTGTGGCTCATGTACATCCTGTCTGTTTACTTAACGTACCCACGGCTAAACCACTCTCGGTTTCTGTGCCCTCTGTTTATGCGGATCTTGCCTTGGTTTTTGAGAAGAGGGAGGAAGATAAGCTACCTCCACATCGTGAGTATGATTGTGCCATAAACCTCTTACCGGGCACTATGCCTCCTAGGGGAAAGGTCTACCCTCTTTCTGAAAAAGAGAACCAAATCATGGAGGAGTACATACAGGAATCCCTAAGAAAAGGTTTTATTAGAAGGTCCTCCTCTCCTGCTGGTGCTGGTTTCTTTTTTGTGGCTAAGAAGGAGGGTGATTTGAGGCCATGTATAGACTACAGGGGTCTGAACAATATAACGGTTAAAAACGCCTACCCTATCCCCCTCATCACTGAGTTGTTTGATCGTGTTAAAGGTTCTAAATTTTTCACCAAATTAGACCTCAGGGGGGCTTATAACCTTGTCCGTATAAAGGAGAATGACGAGTGGAAGACAGCCTTCAACACACGCAGTGGGCATTACGAATATCTGGTCATGCCTTTTGGATTGTGTAATGCTCCTGCCGTGTTTCAGGACCTCATAAATGATGTCCTTAGGGATCTATTGCA